ACCACTACCACTACCGTCCCCACCACTGTCCTGTCCCACTGTCCCACTGTCCCCACCACTATCCCGCTGTCCCCTCACCACTGTCCCCACCAACACCGTCCCCACCACTGTCCGCACCCCCACTCGGCTTTCCAGGGGGGGGGGGGTTCGAACCGGTAGTGACCCCCCCCGGTTTTCGAGGGGGGGGGGGGTTCGAACCGGTAGTGACCCCCCCCTTTTCATGATGAACTGGGGGGGGGGGGAGGGGTTCGAACCGGTAGTGACCCCCCCCGGTTTTCCAGAGGGGGGGGGGGGGAGGGGAAACCGGTAGTGACCCCCCTCGGTTTTGACCCCCCTCGGTTTTCCGCCAGCAGCGGTAGAACACGCTCTTTCTCAGCATCAGCATCAGCATCAACATGTTCATCTTGATTATCAGCATCAACATCATCATCATTCCTTCTCCTCCTCATCATCAGCATCGTCACTTTTTCACAGTTTTCCTCATCGTTCCTCCTTATCCCTATTTTCCTCCTCCCCCTCCTCCCAACTCTCTCCTCATCCCTCCTCCTCCTCCTCCTCCTCTTCCTCCCCCTCATCTCTCCCATTCCTCCTCCTCCTCCTCCTCCTCCTTCTCCTGGTCTTCCCTCCTGCCCCCTACTCCCTCAAGGCCTCATAAGCGGGAACATGTTCGTAAAACCAGGACGCTGTCGCACCCGAGAAGCCTGCAGCAGCGGGTCGATGCATCCTCCAACCCTCGCTCTCACCAGCCAGATCTGTGCAGAGCCCGGATTCGCAGAACCGTGGTTTCTAGGGCCCTACCTCCTCGCTACGTCCCTCCTCGTCCAGCTCCCCCTGCTCTGACTCCAGGGCCTCGTCGGGGCTCGGGGATTACAAGCCTCCCCCCTAACCTGGCACATCCCCAACCTAAGCTGACCCAACTCCTGTCGACACTGCGCCAAAGCTAACCTGACCAATTAAAGATAACCAGACCAACGGCTCGGCGACTCCACTGCGTCACGCGCGCGCTGTAGCAAATGATGAGCCAGAATGGAGCGACACAACAACATGCAATACAAACGTGCCAACTTTATCACTTATACCCTTCGGCTCCAATGAAGAATCTCGCCGGCGCAGAGGCGAGAGCAACATTCGCAATCATGGACGTGTTGGCCATTTCAATGGAAGTTAATGTTTCAGCGAATATGCAAAAATGATATTGCTTTTCGCCTCGTTGAAGATCGCGGTTGTAGGCCAGCTTTGGGTTGGGGATCGCAGACTAGCCGCGCCCGGGCCGTGGACTTCGGGGGCGGCCGCGCCTGGGCTGTGGATCGTCGGCGCGGCCGACATGAACGCGGAAAGAATGGGCGCGAAGACCGACGGCAGCTCCCGTTTGTTTCGAGCAAGATTCGCCTTCGGCGTCGCCGCAGACGTCGCCCACTTGAAGTGGAATTCGGTCTGTCAACAGCGACCGCCGTCGGTTTTGATCAAAAACTGTCATCGGACATCGCGCGCATTTTTTCCTGCGCCCGCCCGGCGCAGCTGCGCCTGCGCTGCGGGCCCGAGGCAACGTCGACGATGGAGGCGATATCCATCCAGAGCCACGCGAGGCCCAAAACTCGAGATTCTCATGCGCCCCGCCCTGCGCGCCGCGGCTTCTGCTCAGGAAGTGCCTGTTGAGAACGCGAGCGCCGCGCTGAACGCCGTGATCGACGGGGCGAACAACCAGGTCGAAGCCACGAACTTAACGGCTAAGAGAAGGCTTTCTTGAGAGAAGGGTCACGTCGTTGAACATGGCAGCGCGTGGGGCGGTGGGGATGCTACGCAGCGCGCTTGAGTAATTCGACATTAACGGAGACCCGTCGTTGCCATTGAGGACCATGAGAGGTTGCTTGCTCCACTGGGTGAGGGCCATGTGCAACGCGTGCGCGCCCATGTTCGGACCCTCGTATAAACCTGAAGTGGACGACGTCGCGGGCCCGCCTGAGTCCGCGTCGCGGGCGTTGAGCCGCCTGCACGCGTCGTGCCAGTCGCTTTTTTTGAGGCCGCGAGGCGCGTGCTGTTGAGCGCCAGTGACAATGAGACTTCCCAGAATAAGGTGCAAATGATCTATGACTTGATCAAGTACTGGGAAACAATTAAAGTCACTTGACGATGAAATTGCACACGGGTGAAGTCTCCAGCTTGTTCAGTACGAAGTTCGAGCGAATGGCTGATATTGAGGGCCCCAATATGAAGCGCATCGCTGAAGTTCCTTGGCCAGCGACTGAGCTCTGCACGGTGATTGAGCCAACGGGCAACATGCTGGCGACGCGGGTGATGACCAAGCACTGGGAGCTGTACGGTGAGCGCCCAATGCGTAGCCTGCATGACGGTCAAGATGACGCCGCTGAGACGCAAATGGGCGACGCCGCTGAGACGCAGATGACCGACAACAGAGCAATTCTTGAGCTTTCCGTGCGTTGCGGCCGACACGCCTTCTGAGGATGAGGTTCCTGATGAGGTCTGAGTTTCTTTAGGCCCTCGCGAGGCTTGAGCCGCCTGCCCTTTGGACCCTCCTGAGCATCGCATCATGAGCTTTTTGCTCTTACAAATGCATGAACCCGCACTTTCTGCCCTAATGAGGGCCTGCGTCGGGCCAGTGAGGATGCCATCCGTATAACTATATCAGCCTTCAGGCGTTCCTGCGCGAAGGCACTCTGAGGGCAGTAACAGCTGTGAGACAGCGCCACTTGAGCCTTCGGCATCAGTACCTGCGACAACAATTAATACCGCCTAGCCTTCTGAGGATGAGGTTTCTGAGTATGGAGTCTTCCGAAGGTGTGATTTCCCAGCTTTTCGTTACACCTGAGCTTCAACGATCCTTCTAAGGATGGAGGTTCAGAGAGTGGAGTTTCTGTAGGCCCTCGTGGGGATTGAGCTCCAAACATCTTTTCGAATATGGAGCTTCTGAGGGTAGAGTTTCTGCATGTTTCGTGGGACCTGAGCTTCAACAGTCTTTCTGAGGATAAAGTTTCTGAGGATGAAACTTCTGAGGATGGAGTTCCTGAGGGCCCGCGCGGGGCCTGACCTTCAACAGTTCTTCTCAGGATGAAGCTTTCAGGATAAGTTCTGAGCGCAAGTTTCTGAGCGAAGATATTCCATGAGAGCGCTCCTGGCGGGTGCCGTGGCGAAAAATTGTGAATGTCCTATATTGGTGCGACACCAATCCGTGGATAAGGCCGCCGAATAATAATCAATTACACCTTATTACAGGGTGTCCTAAAGATTTTGCGGTGAATTAATACGCTGAGGCGAGAACTACAATCGCAATCATGCGGCTGGCGCCTAGGCCTTAGGCCAAAGCAGCATTCCGAGTCGAGAGTGCGACCCGCCTTGAGGAGGGAACAACAATCGCTATCATTCGTACGGTCGGCGCCTAGGCGAAAGCGCCATCTTCAATCAGAGATGTGACGGGCGCCACGGCGAGACAGACATGCTCGATGAAGGATGTGGCTGGCGCGTAGACGGCAGCATCATTTTCAATGAGATATGTGGCCGGCGCCAAGGCGGGAACGACATGCTCACTGAAAGAGTCGCTGGCAACTAGGCGACAACAGCATTTTTCGTCAGAGATGTGGCTGGCGCCAAGGCTCAGCGAAAGATGTCGCCAGCGCCTAGGCGACAGCCAAATTTTCGATCAGAGATGTGGCCAGCGCCGCAGCGAGGACGACATGCTCAATGAAAGATACCGCTGGCACCTGGGCGACAGCAACATTTTTCATCAGATGTGGCCAGCGCAAAGGCGAGAAAGACATGCTCAATGAAGGATGAGGCTGTCGCATAGACGACAGCAACATTTCCAACCAGATATGTGGCCGACGCCACGGCGAAGACGACATGTTCAATGAGGATGTCGCCGGCAACTAGGCGACAGCAGCACTTTTCATCAGAGATGTGGCCGGCGCCAAGGCGAGAACGACATGCTCAATGAAGGATGCAGCTGGGGCCTAGGCAACAGCAACATTTCCTATCAGAGACGCGGCCAGCGCCGCAGCGAGAACGACATGCTCAATGAGAGATGTCGCTGGCGCCTGGGCCACAGCAACATTTTTCATCAGATGCCGCCAGCGCCAAAGCGAAAACGACATGCTGAATGAAGGATGTCGCTGGCGCCTAGGCGAAAGCAACATGTTTAACCAGATATGTGACCCACGCACAGGCCTGAGCACCATTTCGAGATATGCGCGTCGCCAGACTGCATGTGTCACGCCCACTGGGCTCGGTGTCACCGAGTTCCTGGTGACGTTAAGTGGGCAGTCCACATCAGTGGGGGTGTAAAGGGGAACGCCCCCCTTCGGCAGGGCCGAGGCTGTGGCGGGTGCCGCCTGCCTCTGCGGGATAGCGGGCACTGGGCACGCGCCAACCTGAACTGCGGATCCGTGGATCTGGCGCCTGAGCGCCAGGTTCACGGATCGGGGAAGGCACCTCCCGAAACATGAAGCCAACGTTGCCGCGTTTGGAGCACGCCGATTCTGCACGGAAGCGGGACCCGTCGCCAATCCACGCGCCTTAACCCCATACAATTCGAAGGCCACGCACCTTGCTGTCCCAGGCGGCCGAACCGAGCCGAACCTCATCCTCCTCCTCCTCCTCCTCCTCCTCCCTCGCCTCCCTCCACCTATGAGGGGGAGAAGGAGGAGGGACGAATGCACGAACGAACGAACGAACCACCACAGCGGACGTATGTCCAGGCCAAACTGAAATCAGGTGGGGGAGGGAAGCTGGAGGAGGAGTCGGCAGATGACGAAGAGGGGGGAGAAGGCAGAAGGGGAATTGCGAAAATGTTGGGAAAGAGGGGGGAAGGGGATCGTTAAGGGCACAACGGCGTCTGCTACCCCTCGACTTGTTCCACGTTCCAAATTGTTCCAAATAACATTTTCCAGAGAGCTCTGGATTCTTCCTCCATCTATCCGGACGTAGCTCGATTTATCCGGGTGTAGCTCGATTTACCTAGCTTGATCCTGGCAAGTTTGGAGAAAAGCCGTTGAGGCCCTTCGGGGGGGTGGTGGGAGGGAGGGGGAGCGCGGAGGACGCGACGCACGCAAGCCGCGACGCAGAGACGCCGGACGACGGCAGAGTGATGGTGATCCGTGCTCCTCGCGGACAGGAAAATGCCGAGCCCCGACGGTGGCGACGAGCGCGGAGCGCGGCCCCGGCGGCACACATGCGCCTGCACGCCGCGGCCAGCACGACACGGCGACAATGACCGAATTCCTTGGCACAGGCTGCCGCGCACCCCCGAGCAGCGGCCGCGGCCCGCCCTGGCTGGCACTTCGAGGACGCCGGGCCACCCAGGAGAGCCGCGGTCCCATCGGACTCGCCAGCAGGGCCTGCAAGAGGGCGCCAACCCCAAAGCTCCGACGATCCCTGGCCCTGAGATCCGGGCGTTGCACTTTTTCCACGCCCGGCGTGTTCGCCTGGGCTGCGGGCCCTGGGGCCGTCACGCATCGAGCCTGCTCGATAAGTGAAGACGAGGGTGGGGGTCGCCAGGGTTCTGGGTCGCGATGTTGTCGCGATGATGCAGCTGTGCAGCATCGGATCTCAGGGAAGCATGCTTGTTCCGATCCCAGCGTTCTCATCGGTCTCGGTCTCTGGGGGCCGGTCACTGGGCCCCAGATGCCCAAAGAGAACCAGACCCGGGGGCGGAAAACTATCCCCAGGGGAAGCGGTCAGGACCTCCAGAGGGCCGCGGATTGAAAAAAACAGATCGGCGGACGTCAGCGACTGCAAACCCGACGTGCACCGATCCCGACTGGGCCCACCCTGGGCCCAGGATCGTCCTGGCCAGGATCGGGGTGTTCCCATGACACCTCTAGGCGCAGGCGGTTCGACGAGTCTGTTCTTCCGACTTCTTTTTCCCCCTCAGAGAGGTGCTTATCACTGCTCCTTATTCCTGTGCACCCCTCCCCCACTCTTCTAGCCCCTGTCCAGGGCCTATGCCAACACACACACACACACACACACACACACATACACCGTCATCCCCTGCCAAAAAGCAAACAACCTGCACTTTGCGGCAAATCGTTGGTCATGCTCGAGCGCCCCGCGATCACTTTACCTTGTCTTTTGTAATCGGGACGGCGGGGAGGCATCATGTTGCCTGACGCGTGCAGGATCCGATCCCTGTCAAGAATACCTGCCAAGTGCACGTTGCGGCAAAAGCTTGGACCTTGCGCGGGCGCACCGCGATCATTCTGTCTCGTCGCTTGACATGGACGATGGGGGTAACCTTGCACGCGCGGCGCACCTCGCGGGCGTCGCACACCTGGCTGGCGTCTGCATTGATTCCCGAGGGTTGCCAAATGCGGCCCCTGCCCAGGTGTGCCGAAACTCAGAAGCTAACCCGAAGAAGCAATTAAGAACCCCCCCGGGGATATCTTCGCACCGCAATTTTATTCAATATTCCGAGGGGCCATCTTCGCCGAACGATGTCTTTAGCACCCAACAAAAAATGATGACGTGAAGGGCGAGGATGACGAGAAGAAGGAGGCAGAGAAGGGCGAGGAGGAGGAGGAGGATGAGGAGGAACAGCAGCAGCAGCAGCAGCAACAGCAGCTGATGCAGCAACAGCAGCAGCAGCGGCAGCAGGCAGAGGGATGAGGATGAGGACAAGGAGGAGTTGGAGAAGAAGGAAGAACAGGAGGGCGAAGAGGAGGAGGACAGGCAGCAGCAGCAGCAGCAGCAGCTGCAGCAGCAGCTGCAGGGAGTGAGGAGGGAGGAGCACCCGGCAAAAATCTGCTGTCCAATTCTACTAAGAAATGTGATGATGTCTAGAGCGACTTGGCAAATTATATTAATAAATATCAGAATGTTTCAGGCGATTTGGCCAACTCTACTACAGACTATGAGGATGTCTCGGGCGATTGAGCAACTTTTTATAAACGCGTGCGAGGATGTCTCGGGCGATTTGGCCAATTCTATGAAGAACTGTGAGAACGTCTCAGGCGATTTCGCCAACTTTACCGCACGCTATGAGGATGCCTCAAGCGATCGGGCTAATTTTAGCATGAAATGCGAGGATGTCTCAGGCGATTTGGCCAATTCTAATAAGAAACGCGACAATATCTCAGGCGACGCGGCCAATTCTAACTAAAAATGCGAGGATGTCTGAGGGAACTTGGCCAACTCTCCATTGATAAATGCGAGGATGTCCGACACAAGTGAACCTGAGACAAGCGGGGGCCTCGTCTGTGAGTGAATCGTGAGGAAGTGATGATGATGTTGGCGGCGATGACGATGACGTTGATGGCGATGCCGATGGTTCGTGGCGGCTCTGACTAGCGCTGCGAGGGCAGAGCAGCTCTGACTAGCGCTGAGAGACTTCTGAAACCGCATGCAATTCCTGAAGCGGTCAAAACGAATACAATTGCTGAAGGTGCCAAAACGCGCTGACACAGTCTCTCGGGTCTGAAGCGGCCTGACAGACTGAGCTCGACCCCCCTCCTGACTTGTTACCCCCTCTGTTCCCCCCTTCCCCCTCTCCTCCCGGCTGAGCACTGAAATCGAGTCACGGGCAGCGGGCTGCTTGGACTGCGGTCTGAACGCAGCGCCCAGCGAGAGCACGCCCGAGAAAAACTACGCGGACAGGAGTCAGAGAAGGCCCCTGAAAGGCGCGGCGCCTGCAGGCCCGAGGCGGTCCAGCAACTCACTGAGCTTGCGAAGCTGACTCTGCGGCTGATCCTTGGGCGGTTCATCGTAGCTGCCGCTGTGGGAATCCTCGCTCTCCTGAGCGCTGCGGTTTCCTGCCCCCTGCGCTGGGCGTTTCTTCGCTGGCGAAGCCTCGCCCCTGACCTCTGCGGCAGGCGTCTTCCTGATCGCGTTTTTCCCTGCAGGGCGCTTCTTGACTGACGCGGTCTTCTCCTGAGCCTCCGCTTCAGAAGCGGCCTTCCAAACAGCGGCCTCCGTCTCAGCCTCCGCTCTGAGCCTTCTGACCTCCCGTCGAGTCAAAGCGTCGTCGCCCTGAGGATTACGATGCCACCTTTCGTGCAAACCAACCTCCTCATCGGTGCTCTGACGAGACATTGCGGAACTGAGCCTGCGTGAAAAGCTGAGGTGGAGACGAAAGTTCGTGCGCTCGGCGGCTGAAGGTCAAAGCCTGAAACCCGGGCCTGAGCCTGCGTGCCAGCGCGAAGCTCTTGATGGGGGCATTTGGAGGACCCGGGAGGGGGAGCGCTGTGCCCTTGTTGACGGGTGCTGAAGCTCTCTGTCGGGTGCCTCGAAGAACTCTCCTGTGCCGTCTTGAACTCTTCTGGGCCCCTGGGCCGTCTTGGGTTCTTCCGATTTTCCCTGGGCAGTGTGTGACTGCTAAACATCTGAATTGAAGCAAATAACAACATTTTTTCTCCCCCTCCTCAAAAATGCGAAAATGTCTCAGGTCATTTTAGACATTGTAATCAGACGTGTGAAGACGTGTCAAGCGATATGGCCAATTCAAGAATGTAAGGATGTCTCAGGCGATGTGGCCAATTCTATTAGGACATGTGAGGATGTCTCAAGCGATTTGGCCAATTCAATTCGGAAATGCGAGGATGTCTCAGGCCATGTTGGACATTGTAATCAGAAATGTGAGGGTGTCTCAAGTGATATGGCCAATGCTAGCAAGAAATGTAAGGCTGTCTCAGGCGATCTGGTCACTTCTGATAACAAATGCTGGGAAATCTGAGGCGAATTGTAGATTTCCTCCTCTTCCTCCTCTACTATTCGTTCTGGTTCGCTTGTTTTGTTCGATGAGGTTTCTCTTGGAACGCCTTTAACGACATGTGTTTGCTCGGCCGTCGTGGAGGGTGGCCCGCCCGACGGTATCCCACCCGCCCCGCACCGCAGCGTTATCTTAGCACCCGCACAAAAAACTAATCGTCGTCGCCAACGTAATCGTCGTCGAAGACATGTGGATGTCTCAGACGACGTGGTTAATTCTATTGGAAAATGTGAGGATGCATCAAACGATGTGGCCAAATCTATTAGGACATGTGAGGATGCCCCAAGCGATTTGGCCAATTCTAATACGAAGCGCGAGGATGTTCCAGGCAAATTTGACATTGTGATCAGACATGCGAGGGCGTCTCGAGCGATATGGCCAACTCTAGCGAGAAATGTGAGGATGTCTCGGGCGATTTGGTCAACTCTGATAAGACATGCTAGAAGTCTGAAGCGAGTTGTTAATTTCCTCGTATTCCTCCTCTACTCTTCGTTCTGGTTCGTTTTTTTCCGATGAGGTTTCTGTTGAAACTCCTTGAAGGAAATGTATTGTTTTTCGGCTGTCGTGGGGGGCGGTCCACCCGACGGCATCCTTCCCGCTCCGCGCCGTGGCGCTATCTTAGCACCCTGACAAAAAAATCGCCGCCATCTACGCAAGCGTCGCCGGAGACACGAATTCTCCTGAAATCTTCTTCTTCTCCTGTTCTTGCTCTCGAACGCCCTTCTCCTTCTCTTTCTCCCCCAGTCGTCTTTATTCTCCTGCCTCTTCTGAGAAGTCTGCGGATGTCTCAGGCAAGTTGGTCAAGAAAACTAAGAAACGCGAGGATGTCTCAAGCGATTTGGCCAATTCTATCAAGACATGTAAAGGCATCTCAAGCGAATTCGCCTATTCTATGAAGAAATATGACGATGTTCCAAGCGATCTGGCAAATTCTACTGCGAAATGTGAGGATGTCTCAGGGAATTTGGCCGAGTCTACTAAGACATGCGAGAATGACGCAACTGAATCTGCGACAGCTGAATCGATTTGACAACGAGCAAAAAGCAATGATTGAAGCAGAGAATCTGTAGACGAATACCTGAAACTAAAACAACTGAATCGAATGAACAGCGATCCGTTGCAAACTAATTATTTTTTGGACGAGCGATCTCGCTGGAACGCTGGAATCATCTTACTGGAACGCTTGAGCTCTGAAGGGGCGACAGGCACAGGCAGGAACTCTCCTGAGCACTGAAAGGTTGCCCTGATATTGCCAGAACTGTCACAGGCACAGGCAGGAACTCT